GTGTCCTCACATCTAGAGGTTGCTAGTACTTACCTGCTTTTCTCATGTTCTTCCCAAAGTCTTTCTTCTCTTCTTCTATAAAACAGTCAGTGCCACAATTGCAAGATAAAGAAATAATCATTTTATTGTGCATCAGACTATTTCATGGGGATGTCACAATGGCAAGGAGCCTAGTATAAAAATTGGAGGATGGGGTCAGGGCAGCAGAGGGGGCAGCAGCATCCAGAGCTGGGGCTTATCTGGCCCGAGGCCTCAGAGAACTTCACCATTGCCTGTGGCAAGACTAGTGGAGGTTTCAGACAGGACTCGGAACCCCTAGCACGCTTTCAGAGTGGGTGGGCTACATCAGGCCTATTGGTTCTTCCTTTTTATTTGAGAGAACTTGGAGGAGGGCGCGTCCAAGGAAGCTCCATTTTCCTGCAGCTGTGGATCCTTTGGCCTTTGGGTTGCTGGTGATAGTGGTGGTAGGGCTGGGCTGAGGTTCCTAGAATCTAGTTAGCTTCACTGAGGTCACACCCTTCAGAACCCCAAGAGGATCAACTTTGAGAAGCCCCCTGGCAGGTGGAACGGTGAAGCCTGTGAAAGGGCACAGACCCTCTCACTTCTTATTGGGGGCAGTGCCCATAACGCCAGCACCTAGCTTGGACCTACTATTCCCCTGATTCTAGGGATAGGACTTGGGGTGGGGGAGAGTGGCTCAGCCCTGTCTCTGGAAGGGGAGAGGTCTCCACTGCTTCCTGTTTCTGGGTCTGGCCTCTGCCAGTGAGGGATAGTATTTTCCCTGGCGCTGAGCGGACAGCTGAACAGAGCCCGCCAGAAGAGCAGTGAGCCCAGCTGGGCAGCTGTGGGGACACTTAGTCGGCTCAGCTTTCATCCACATCAGAGCCTGCCTGCCCCACGATTATCCCCACATTCAAATATGGCTCCAGCATCTCACTTGGTTTTGGCCTTCTTGGATGGACATTGAGCAGAGCGCTTGGCTGGAGGCCAAGGGTGTTGACTTCTTCGTGAAGGAGCCAACACCAGGAGGCACAAACCACAAGGCCTGAAGGAGAGCTTCTACAGGCCGGAGCCTGTATTCTGAATCTGGTACTTTGAATTCAGATGCAGAGCTCTGGAGCCAAGAGCTTGGGTCTGAGAACCTTCAATGGGGATCCCAGAGCTCAAGACCTCAAATCAGCAGCCTAGAGCCCCAATGTGGGGGCAGTTTAGAGACGGCTGACAGCGAGAACCTCTGGTGCTTGGGAGTCCACCCTAGAAGCAGTTGGGTTAGGCTGGATCTTGTGTACTCGTCTTGCTCCCAGAAGTTTGGGCTGGGCTCCTGATGGCTGGTTCACAGGGCCAGGGCCGGGTGCTGGTGCTGACTCTTCAGTACCCATGGTACCCCGGGGGCAGGGGCGCCTCAGCTACCTCTCCTCGTCAGCCTTTCAGCAGTCCCTTGTCCCTCAGAGCCTGTTCTGCCCTCAGGAGCTGTGTGGACTCTAGCTCAGCCTGTGGTCTGTGCCTCTGGTTGCCTCACAGCTCTTCTAGCCAGAGCCCCTTCCTCAAGGCTCAAACCCAAGATGACCAGAAGTTCCTGGGTCTTTGGGTACAGGAGCCCAGGAGGAGCCTGGCTGGAGGGCTCTCTTGGCTCTGCCTCTGTCTGCATCTAGTTCGCTCCGGGACCCGGCTGGGCATTGCCCTCTCTGCTGTAAAATGGGCATAAAACATCCCTGTCTTGTCCATCATCCAGTGAGATGGCCCAGTGTAGGGCCTAGAACATAGTATTTGTTCAGTAAATTTGGTTGAGTGAAATAATGGTTGGGAGAAGGTGTTTTTACACAGCCCTTTCCTTGGTGTGTGTGTGAGTGATTACCATTCTTAGTCTTATGGAGGAGCAGCACTGTGACTCACGGGGCCATCACTGCAAAGGCCCAGCTGGGATCTCTGATCCAGGGTGACAGCCTATGCTCCTGCCTGGGAGGGACCAGGGAATGGGGGGTTTCCCTCTGCGAGGGGGAGGCCAGGCAGGCTGGGCTCTGGGGTGGGACTGTAGTCTTCTCTTGCCTTCATCTCACCTGCTCTTCCTGCCTGGAAGGTCCCACAGAAATTCAGCTTCCAGCTGCTCATGGAGGCTGAAATTAACCCTTTGCCTCTGACCTGGTAGCTAGCTGCCCATTCCTTTTCCAGGGGATTTGAGAAGACAAGGCTACCAGGCTGAAGCTGCCAGGGGTCCATACATATGTGTGGAGGTGCGCCTTCCGTCAAAATGGCACCAGTTTTCCCCTGC